GTAGATGGCAGCCTGATCTACAAAGCAAATTCAAGTCTAGCCAGGGCTACAGAGTGAGACCCTGTCTCAACAAACAAATAAAACAAAGCCAACAACCCCCCTCCCCTTTTTTTCTTCAACTTATCCCCAGTCTCCAAAGTAGGTAGTGTTTACAGGTTCAGATTTACCAAGGGGAAATTGGAGATTCTGGGATGCAGAGACGACCAGAAATGTGACTGTCCGTGCCACAGGAGCCTTTCCATGAACTCAGGATGAGTGTCTGTATGTGTGTGTGTGTGTGAGGGGGTGGGGTTATGAGGCAGGTGCACAGGATGGAAAGGGCTTGGGCCATGGGAGAGTCTGAGCTCTGGCCCAGCAAGGCACTGGTGGGAAGGCCGCAAAGCCTGGTGAGGTGAGGGGGAGGGGAAGAAGGATGGGGTGCTGACCTCATCAGCCTCCACAGCCAGAGAATTCTAAAGCTCTGGGCACCGACCCTTGCTTTTCAGAACGGGACATTTATTATAAAAAGGAAGTGAGGCGACATGGTGATGATTCATGGAATTTGTAGCTGGGGTTGAATGAGAGCCTCGTAATGATGGTGATTAAAAATTAATGCCACTGTGCCGCAGTTTTGGTGTCCACTTTGCATCCAGTGAATTAATTAGCAAAGGACAACACAAGTGGCCAGGGCAAGCCACAGAGCTCGGGAGCTTGATCGGGGATGATTCCGAGGGGACATCCCTGGAGGCGGCACCCGTCATCATCCTCAGAGCATTACTTTCGGGGGCTTGCTTTCTATCTTTGTACAGCCTGGTGCTGACCCACCCTGGAGAGCCATGAGAGTAGTCTAAGAGTAGATAGTAGTAGTACATTAGATAGACTGGATCCTTGTGCACCAGGCCCCATGTATTCCCAGCATCATTCCTAGACCTAATAGTAGGTATTAATTTAACAGATAGTAGTCTAAACTGAGGGACAAGAGAACGTCCCTGCACTCAGGAGTCAGAGGCAGGTGGATCTCTGTGAGTTCAAGGACAGCCTGGTCTACAAAGCAAGTCCAGGACAGCCCAGGCTACATAGGGAAACCCTGTCTCTCAAAAAAATAAAAAATAAAAAAAATAAAAGACTTTCCCCCTGCTCACAGGGGTCATTTGTCAGCAGTAACAGAAAGTACAACTGGAGGTTGCCAGCCTGAGTCCCCACTGGGGCCTCATGATTTGGGTCTCGGGTAGCCCAGGCTGGCTTGGGACTCAAACTCCATATAGCCAAGAATAATGATGAATTTCTGATTTTCCTACTTTTACTCCTCCAGTGCTAGGAGAACAGGCATGAGCCACCACAGCCAGTTCACACGTGATATTGGGGATTAAACCCAGGGCCTGGCCCATGCTAGGCCATCTGACCTACACCCAGCTCTGTTTGTTCTTTTGAAGACATTGTAGCCAAAGCCAACCTGGAACTCACGATGTAACCTAGATATCTTAGTTACTTTTCTATTGCCATGAATAGACACTGTGAGGAAGGCACTTTATAAAATAAAGCATTTAATTTGGGGCTCACAGTTCCAGAGGGCTAGAGTTCATGACCATTATGGCTGAGAGCATGGCAATAGACAGGCAGACACGTGATGATATAGTAGCTGAGAGCGTATATCTGATGAGAGGGATGAGAGAGAGAGAGAGAGAGAGAGAGAGAGAGAGAGAGACACTAGTTAATTGGCAGTGAACATGGCATGGGTTTTTGAAACCTCAAAGCACACCCGCAATGACATACCTCCTCCAGCAAGGCCACACCTCCTAATCCTTCCCAAACAGTTCTACCAAATATACGAGCATGTGGGGACCATCCTCTTTGAAACCACCACAATCCATTAACCACACAATCGTGGTAATCCTCCTTCCTAAATTTCCTAATTTCTGGGCTTCAGGCATGCGCCCCACCTTCAGTTCTTTCCTGCTTCAATTCCATCCAACTCCTGTTTGCTTTTTACAGGGGATCAAATGCAGGGTGCCACCCACTCTGGGCAAGCTTTCTGAGAGCTGAGCCACACCCTCAGCCCTCTTCTCTGGCCTCCTGTTAGCCAGTTTAACAGTGAAAAAGGAGTGAGGTGTGAAGCTAAACACCCCTGAGGGAGGGTGTGACATCTGTGGCAGCTGTTACCTACAGCCACAGTACAAGAAAGGGATGGAAAACTACTAAAATGTGTTTCTTTCTAACATTCTTGAGGCCAAAGGTGCAAAGTCTAGGCAGATGCCAGGCGCCTTGGGAGCCTTGGGAGACAGTGTGTGACTCTTGGCGGCCTCCAACGATAACCACCTGCAGCTCTTAGCTTCCTGAAGTATGTCCGAGGCATCAGCCTCCACCTCTTTTCTCCGTGTCTCTCCAGGATCTGTGTGTCTCAAATCTCTCTTTCATCGTTTTGTATTTTAAGACAGACTCTGTGTAGCCCAAAATGGTCTCAAACTCTTCTTACTACAGCAATCTCAGTGCCAGGATTACGGGTGTGTGCCACCATACCTGGCTCCTTTCCTCCCATAAGGACATCCAACAATGGGGTTTAGGACTGTCCCTAATTCCAGGACGATCATATCTTCAGACCCTTGATTTATTGATGTCTGCAAAGTCTTTAATTCCAAATAAAGCCAACCCCACCAGTAGAAGGCATTGGACCAGATAGGAGGCAGTTCAGCCCACTACAGAAGGATTCTTCCCTGCGCCAAGCTAAGAGACCAGAGGAAGAAGCCCATGCTTTGGCATTTGGAAGTATCTTCTGTGAGCCAGGTGCTAGAACTCAGAGGAGGAGAAACTGGTGGCTCCACTCAGGGAAATTGTTTCAGATGAAGGTCTTGTTGACTTTGGGCCATGAAGAGTTCCAGAAAGTACCTCAGGCCACATCCCCAGGGCTTCCACTATTATTTTTGTTCTGTTTTTATTGTTTGAGACAGTGTTTCTCTGTGTAGTCCTGGCTGTCCTGGAATCTGATCTGTAGACAAGGCTGTCCTCAAACTCAGAGACCAACCTGTCTCTGCCTCCCAGAATACTAGGATTAAAGGTGTGCTCCACCACTGCCCAGATGAAGTTTTATTTTCATACCCCCTTTTCTGCCTTTCCTCTCAGCCCATCCTTCATGGTATCTGTTCTCTCCAGAGAATAGACCTTTGGGATAAAAACCAAACCTCCTGCTGGGCGTGGTAGTTTAGGACTTTCATCTCAGCAAAGGAGCTCTTTATCCTGGTCTACCTAGTGAGTTCCAGGTTGGTCAGGGCTATCTAAAGAGACCTGTCTCAAAAACAAAGCAAACAACAGGCCCCTGAAGTGGCATAAGACCCACCACCACCTTCACCCTTCCAGCCTACCACCCACTGTATTGTTCCTTGCCTCACGTCTTGGTTCAGCCCCTTTTCTGGAACCCCCCTCCCCAATTCTAGACTTTTCTCCTAGCATACTCTGCCACTTTTTTCCCTGCCCTCATCACTCCATCCATCCGTCCCTTACTGAGTTGAGTGTTTGTGTCCCACAGGCTGAGCCACCTCCGGGGGCAGTGGCATACCCACCATCTCTAGGACACAGCTTTGCAGAGTGGCCTTGATTTCCGCCTCTGTTCTGCCTTCTCTACTAGATCCATGGGACTGTCAAATGAGCCCAAAGTGACAGTCCAGGGACCTGATCAATACCTAAGGATAGGGTCAAGAGATGCAAGGGCCTCTTCCCCCAGGGACCCCTTGTCCTAGTCTCAGAAAGCGTCATAGCCATTCTGTCTCCATTCCCCAGTGTAGACAAGGCCAGGGTGACCCCAGGCAACTCTTGCTCCAGCCCCATCCAGCTCCGCAGCCAGTCCCAGTGTGGGTCTACCTCTCCCGCTGTTTTCTTTTCAGATCTAGAGTTCAAAAGAACAGTAGACCTAGGCGTGACAGCCACAGGAAACAAAAACTGGCAGGCTGGATCCTGTCTGCTCGGCCAGGGCCTGCAGGGCACTGCATACCTCTCCCTGCTAGGTCCCGGGAGATCTCTAGTTCTGGTTCCGTGGGCCTCAAAAGCCAGAGTGTCCTGGAAACTGTGGCTGCAGGAGAGGCTAGGCCAATTCAGGACCCAGGAGGGGGAGGGAACAGCTTGGTTTAATTAGAGCTTAAAAAAAAAACAAACAAAAAACAAAACTGAATCGGCTTGCAAGAGAGCCGATTCAGATGTTCTCAGCCCTGCAGGGCAGGCCTGGCGTAATCATAACAAAACAACATTTGCATGGAGATTTACAAAGCACTTTCTCAGGGTAGGGAAGGCTCTGGGGTGGCCCAGTGAATTCCTAGCTGGGAGGTCACCCAGCCTGGGGTGGTTCCACCCTCCATCCAAGTTTACCATTGTGATTGCCCGCAGGGTAAACAAAGGCCCTTTCAGGCCACTGTTTCCGATTCTTCTGCCCTTCATTCCTTTCACTCTCTTCCAGGAAGAGCACACTCGGGGTTTGTCATTCAGTCTCGAAAAGAGGCTCCGAGGGCCTCGGTCGGGACTGGGAGAGTGGCTGGAGCCTAAAGGACGAAGCTTTCCTCTGCCCCACACCCTCTGGCAACCCAACGCTGGGCCCGGAATGTGGCATTGCTGCAGTAGGATACTGCCAATGCGTCCCTTGCTCGGCTATGGTGACATCCTCACGTATACAATGGGAGCACTGGTTTGGCAATGCCTGTGTTTGGCGATATACAGAGATAAGCAGGTGTGAGTCTTCACCAACCCCTGCCCACCTGAGGATGGGACTGTGTGAACAGTGTGGGGGTGTGGGGCCCTGGGGTGCCTGCACCTGCATGGCTGGGAGGGCTGACCCAGCTGTGGGGCCTCTGTGGGGCCCCCCTTCAGAAAGGCACATGCAGTCCTCTTCTGAAGGAAGAGAGGACCGAGTGGGAGCGGGACTAGCAACAGAGAGGACCTGGCCCCTTAAGTGATTCTGGCTTATATAGGAGCCACCTGCCGGGGCGGGAAGGGGGAGACGTCTATCAGCTCGGCGCTATCCCCGTGGTGGGAGAGGGAAGATGGAGGAGATCATCGCAGGGCTGGAACGGTTCACATTTGCCTTTGAGCAGGATGTGGAGCTGCAGAAGGGCACTGGGCTCCTGCCTTTCCAGGGCATGAACAGTGAGTGGCATGGCTTCCCGGCCCCTGGCTTCCCTCTGTCTCTCCTACAGGGCTTCTGGGTAGTTCACTGTCCAGGATAGAAAGACAGATTTCAGAGCTACTCACTGGCCTGCCAGAGTTCCCTGGCTGCCTCAGAGCCATCCACCTCCTGTCTCCGAGTTGGGGCTGAGTTTAAGTGTAATTTAGAGGTTGGCTCTGGACAGTGAGGGGGAAGGGCCTGGGAAGAGAGAACCTTTGACTCAGCCAGCTTTTGATGGCAGACTGTGGCTGGCAAGAGGCTGAGGCAGGAGGATTTCTGAGTTCTGGGTCCAACCTGGAGTACACAGTGAGAGTGAGACCTCGTCTCTTTAACAAGTAAGCAAAGGGACACGTAAACAACAACCCCAAATCCAAAGCTACAGTACTGGGGGGCATGTGGGGTGGGGTGGAGGTACGCAGATCCAAGCCTGTAGGAGCCTGAGGTGGGACTTTGTGGGGAGGCTCTGGAGGTCCACTGGGGAGGGGAGTTTCTGGTCTGGGAAAGTTACCTTCTCTGTTTCCTTCTCCAGAGTCCGGCTCAGCTGTGTGCAATTTCTTCCCTAAAGGGCTCTGTGAGAAGGGTGAGTGAGTCAGGCCTGGGCTGGGCAGGGACAGGAATGGCTGTGCAGAGCATGCTGGGTTCAGCCAGGGCCTAGGGTAGAGAGTGACCTTGGCACCTGGGCTAGGACAGGACTCAGCAGTGCCTTGAGCAAGAAGGTCAATACATGTAGTTAGTATAACAAGCTTGTATTTTATGCTGAGGATCATCACACTCTAAATTTCTAACTACAGTCCCAAGCCTATCTCCCACGGCTGCCTGCTCACCTGTGCACGGTATCTTAGCTGAAAGGCCGGTTCTAGCCTCTAAGAGAAGTCTCTGATTTGAGAGTAGGATCCTGGAGGAGACTCTCCAGCCGCAGGGCAGATCAACCTGGTGAATCTCCAGATGGGCAGAGCTGAGCATTGCTCTTGGTCTCTGCTTAGATACTGTCTAGTGGGTGTCCTGGGGTTCTAGGACTGTCTGGTTGTCCTGAGTGAGTGATGTCACTGAGTTCCAGTTATCAAGTGCAGCCTTGGGTGTAGTGATGGGTCAGAGCCTTCAGTCTATGTTCTCAGGAGGCTTCAGTCCTCCTCATTTTAAACCATCCTCTCTTCCCAAGCAGGCTTCCTTCCCCTAAATTAACACGGAAACTGACCGACCATCTCAGCTATTTCTTCTGCCCTTAGCTAGACTCTCAAGTTATGGCCACAGCTGCTCAAAATCCCCCTTGCCAGTCCCTTCTCCAATTGTAGCCTGACTTACCTCTCTGGCCTTCTCTTGGCATTTTGAGGCTCCTCCAATAGAAACATACAGTTGTCAGTACCTTATCCCTAACGGTAGGGTTTCCCACTCCTCCCTGAAGCCTGCCTATGGATCCAGGTGAAATGATTCTCAGAGGCCCTGCCCTACAGATCCTTCTCAGTCTGTTCCTAAAAGCCAGGAGTCAGGGCAAATTTTACCTGGAGCTTTTGTCCACTTCCGGATGGTTGGATGAGAAGGGAAAGTGCTCACTGGCCACCCAGGGTTCTGGGCAACCAGAACCTTCCAGGTCCATCACAGACTGAGTGAGCCACAGGTCCAAGAGAGAATGCTGCTGCTGAGGAAGGCCATTGCATAGCACTAGAGATGGTCAGGAGAGAGGGAGCAGGGAGAGAGAGACAGGCAGAGACAGAGATAGAAGCAGAGAGATCGAGAGCATGCACACAGCGTGGGAGTCACTCGAAGAGGACTTCCTGGTCATGCATGCCACGGCCCTTCCTTCCAGTGGCAGTGTCTACTGAAGTGTTCAAAGCTAACTTTTCTAGGGTCTGCCCATTGTTAGAGTCAACTATTTCATGGCTGTGTTGTTCTTAATATCTGAAGTCATGAGCTCATGCTAAGAAGATTCTCTGTGGGCAGAGCACCTGCCTGGCACTCATTAAGCTTGTGATCCCCAGCACGCACACGTAAACTGAGCATGGTGAAAAAGTCATTCTTGGCAACATGGTGAGTTTGAGACTACCATCTTGAAAGGATGAGACCCTCTTTCAAAAAACAAGAGAGATGACTCCAGGATGCTTGCTTCTCTTGCAGAGGAGCCTGGTTTAGTTCCTATCCACCTGGTAGCTCAAAACAGTCTGTAGCCCCAGTTTTAGGGTATCGGATACCTCTCCTGCCCTCCGATGGCTCCTGCATATACAACATGCATATATACACACCAACACTTAAAGATAACCTTTTGTTTTAAATAAGGAAGGACAAGTCCAGAAGAACATTTTCCTTGCCACAAAAGTCACAGACTCAACAAGCACTTGCAGTGTTCCAGGAGCTGGGCTGGGTATGGCGATGGGGTGAGGTGACTGTTCTCTCATGGGAAAGGCAGCCTGCAGGTTCCTAGGGTTTGGCTCTGGGAAAGGAAGGGGTCCACTGACTGTAAAGATATCCTTTTGTCCAGTGTGGTCCTCTAACCCCTATTCCAGCCCTTTCTAGGTTGTGTCCAGGTGATGGGACACAGAGATGACAGAGGTGGGGAGGAGTGGCCTTGGGGATCTTCCAGCCTTAGGTGAAGCCTACAGCAGGTGTTGTGTTCCACAGGGATACTGTGCCCCCTTCGGCACGAGAAGGGGGAGAAGATGGTGGTGTGCAAACACTGGCTTCGGGGGCTCTGCCGAAAGGGAGACTGTTGCAACTTCCTGCACCAGTATGACCTCAGCAGGATGCCTGTGTGCTACTTCCACTCAAACTTCGGTAATGCCGGGCCCGGTTTGTGGGGATGATGGAGGGCTTTTGGGTGGGGGTAGAAGAGTAACCTGGAAGCCAGGTGTTCCCCAGAAAGTCCAGCCTTATCTGATGGAGCCCAAGCTGCCTGCTTCTCTGAACCCTAAGAAAATAAGAACCAAGGCTGGGCACAGTGGGGGACTGGGGGGGCAGCTAAAGCAGGAGAATCAGGAATTCAAGGCCAGTCTCAGCTACAGAGAAGTTCAAGAGTAGCCTGGACTGCACAAGACCTTGTCTAAAAACAATAACAAAATAGGGTTCATGGTGGTGGCACACCTTTTTACCCCTAGCACTCAAGCACTCAGGGGCCACAGGCAGGTAGAGCTCTGTAAGATTGAAGCCATAATGTTTCAGGTCATCCAGGGATGCACAGTGAAACCCTGTCATAAAAATAAACCAGTAAGGGTCTGGAGAGGTGGTTCAGTGGTTAAGAGCACTTGCTGCTCTTCCAGAGAACCTGGATTTGGTTCCCAAATCCACATGGCAGCTCACCATTGTCTGTAACTGAGTTCCAGGGGACCCAGTGTTCTCTTCTGGACTCTTCAGACACCAGGCATCCCCGCGGTACACATACAAACATACAGGCAAGACACATATACACATAAAATATGAATAAATATTTCATTAACAAGTAGGGGCTGGGTAGATGGCTCAGAGGTTTAGGGCACTGGCTGCTCTTCCAATAGTTCTGAGTTCGATTCCCAGGAACCACAAGGTGGTTCACAACCGTTTATAATGAGATCTGGTGCCCTCTTCTGTCCTGCTGGCACATATGCAGGTGGAATATTGTAAAAATAATAAACAAACCAACAAACAAATCTTCTTTAAAAATTAAAAAAAAAAAAAAAAGGAAACAAAGAAAAGTAAAAATAGAGGACACGGAGCCAAATCTCTGTTAGTCTCAGTGCAGCAGTTACCTCAAAGGGAAAGGAATATGTTCCCCTCTTTGGGCCTGGCTAATCCACACCAGGGTGACTGTCTGTTGGGAATGGCCTTGAATGAACCACCCCTCAGACCCTGCGGGGCCCAGGCCAGGCCTTCCCAGATGAGGTGTGTTTACTTGGTAGCTGTACCCAGAACTCACACCGGTACCCCCACCCTGTCTCCTTCCTGCTCCCTTGCTATTTCTAACTTTTTATTTTAGCTGAAAAATGTCATTCTCAAAATGTTACCTCCCAAAGGGGAAAACCTGCATCACTTGTTGGAACAAGAGAAGACCACTATATATATATATAAAGCCACGAGGTTCAGAAGTCAGGGCCCTAAAATTATCTTGCGTGGTCAGGGCTGCTCCACCCTCCTTTGGGGCCTCAAGTCCTCCTTGGTCATCCAAAGAGCTATTTAGGGACAGTTACAGCCCCTTTCCCCTCCCTGAAAGGTGGAGTCTGTGAATCTTCTACCTCCTCAGTGACACTCTACAGCTTGGTGTCTGATGAGCTTTATGGGGCCTGGGGATTATCTAGTCCAGTCATTTCCAAACTGAGGGGTTAGAGGAGGGGAGGGGAGAGGGGAGAAGGGAACATACTGGATGTCCAAGTTCACTCCTCATTCAAGAGACTGAAGGGCCACACTCCTTATAGGTAGCGAGCTCCATTAGGGGGCAAAGTCTTTCCTGAGGTATGGAAAGTTCATCCCAGTCTCCCAGTCCAACATTCCAGACTGCGTGATCGAGGAAGCCAGGCCTATGACAGTTCACAAGGGCCTCCTGAATGAACGCTTTTCTAGAACAAAAGGACAAAGTTTATCTGGAGGCTGGTTCCCCTGAAGTCACTCTCTAAAGTAGTTTAACTTAGAAATGTCCCTCTATTCTCTCAATCCCGGGCTTGGTTTGATGGTCAGATGTGGTTCTAGATGCAGGAGTGGGGCTTTGGCCTCCAAGTAATTCATTATGCACAGGCACGTAAGCTCATATTATGATATGTAACCTAAGGTTTTGCCCTTAACAGTGAGCGAATACCTCTCATATTATGAAAAACATTGTATGTTAGGTGAGCGGTACATGCCTTTATTTCCAGGACTCAAGAGGCAGAGAGAGGCAGGTGGATCTCGGGAGTTTAAGGCACGCACGCGTTCACGATTCCTCATTCTTCTTATTCCCCCTCCCTTTGAGATAGGGTCGCACTATGTCACCCTGGATGTCCTGAAACTTGCTAGGTAGACAAGGCTGGCCTCAAACTCGAGAGATTTGTTGGCCTCCGCCTCCCATATGCCGAGACTAGACTCTAGAGGAATGTGCCACTAAGTCCTGCTTCAGTGTCCCTATTTTTAAAAATACTGCTGAACTGGAAATGGTCTTGGGAGATGCATAGATACATGATGAGCAGACCAACCGGAAAAGATTGATTCCATGAAGCTGCCATCCTGGTAGGTTGAGACTTGGTAGAAATGCCACTGTTTTGGGGGGTCAGTTAACTCTAAGCTCAACAAACTCATTGGCACGTGAGCACACACACAAACACACACGTTGTTGAGTTTTGGGAGCGGGAAAGTGCCTTTGGTTAGAGCCAGGATGTCCAGGGAAATAAGGGCAGCTGCAAAAGACAAGAGTGCAAGCTGGAGTGTTGCTGCCACCTGCTGGTCAGGATCAGGCATAACAACATGCTGCTGGGACAGACAGAGGTCATTTTGAGTCCTGAGGACGCTCAAAACCAAAGGGCAGAGCTCTACCAAGCTGGTCCAGAATGTGCTAATAAGCCCCTTTGCCATGAGGAAGCTGAGTGAACGAATGTGGCACTTGCCTTTCTCTGAAGACTGGCATCCATGCTTGTAAAATGGGGGGGGGGGGGGCTGGAAAGGAATAACAGAACTCTTCCTCAGGTGAAGCTTCATCTTGTAGAAAGCCCAGTGTATAAGTAAGACAGCTCTCTGGCAGACCTTTCGAAGGGTTTGCTGCAAAGAGTAGAGTCAGGCTTTTAGGGAAGAGGTAAGTAGAAATGTTCACAGATTCTCCGCAGAAAGGAGGCAGGTCAGGTCATAATCTTCTATACTTCCTCAGCTCTGCCTAAGTGAAGCCTAAGAGCCATGCACAGCAAGCTGCACAGGCTGCCTCCTTGTGGAAACGCAGTTGACCAAGATGATTTAACACTAGACACAGCCCAGCCCAGCCCAGGCTCATGCTAACACAGCCCCTCTGAAAGGTGCCCAGGGGCCCAACTGGAAGCTCTACTTTGTCCTTGGTATTTCCTCCAAACCCCCTGCCCCTCCTGGGGCCCTGGGAACTGTGGAGGGTTCCTAGTGGGGATAACCAGAGGCTAACTTAAGAGGTCTTCCAAAGATGGTGACAAGCAGAGAACAGGCCAGTAGATTCCTTGGGAGGGAGGGCCAAGGCCAATCTGGGTGTCAATGTGGAAGTGGTTCTTAGCTTGAACCTGCTTCTGTACAAAGAACAATGGGCTTTTCAGGTAACTGTAGCAACAAGGAATGCAACTTCCTCCACACGAAGCCAGTTCCCAAGCTCCAGAACTGCCCCTGGTATGACCAAGGGTTCTGCAAGGAAGGTGAGAACTTGCTGGACAGGGATGCGGGGGTTCTGGGTGGAGACGAGGATTAATATCCCCCTGCAGCTGTGCCACAGGGGAGACCCCAGTGGGAAGTCTTCCTGAGGCTGTCCAAGGCTTGTACACAGCCTGGCGTGGGCTACAACAGGCTTCCCAGGAAAGTCTGTGGGAGTCACACCCCACCTTTCTCAGCAGGTGGGTGTGGGAGGGACCTTGGCTGAGGAGCCCAGCACCAAGTCTAGCCCATGAGAGAGACAGCTCCCGGGTGCCGAATGCCACTTAAGTTCCACGGTTTCCACTGCTCCCAGCCAAACTTAGAAGGCAGGGTCCCCATGAGTCCCTGGGCCTTTTGACCACGTGTCTCCCATACATCCTAGTGAGAATCTTAGCACCGGGTTGGGAGGGAAATAGGCTTGAGCATGCTCCCACCAATACCTTCTCTGTGCTGTGCCCAAGGCCTGGAGCACGGCCCACCTGTGCTTTTTACCACTGAATCACCCGCCCAGCCTGGACGTGAGGCGAGGTTTCTATCCCTGTCCATCCCCTGGCTTCAGGGATGTTGATGACGGGAAGGCTTCCTCACCTCATTCCCAGCGGAGAAGCCTTCCAGACCCTGCTGTTTTCCACCATTTCATGTATACTTCCTCCTCTGGATGAAGCGGACTCGGCCATTTGCTCTTTGTCTAGCAGGTCCCCTGTGCAAATACCGCCATGTTCATCAAGTAATGTGTCCCAACTACTTCATCGGCTTCTGCCCCAAGGGACCTAAGTGCCAGTTTGGACAGTAAGTATGACCTCTCTGTTCCCCAATCCACTGGAGTGCTGGGCCCCACCTTCCAGACCTAGACCCTTCTGTACTTTCTTCTGCCCCCGGTGGGAGATTATCTAGCTGAGTATGTTAATGAGCAAGGACAGAAGGCTAGAGGCTCTAACACACACACTAACATGCACACTCTCTCCCCGCTCCTATGCCTCCCTCTCCTTCCTTTAGTCCCAAGATGAGTCCTGGGAGCCACGCCAGTAATGTGAAGGTAAGTGCAGCACTTGGGGCGCCCACATAGCATCTCCTTCCTTTGCCTCCCGTACCCAGCTGCGCTTCCTAGTACTGTGCTATTCTCATATCCGCTGAGTCCCAATCCTGTAAAAGGCACGTGTGGTCACGTGTGCAGGGCACCTTCATAAAGTAGCTCCTCCCGTTTTCCCCACTCCTCCATGATCACCCTGAGGCCTTCCTTTGCTATGGCTGGGTAACAGCAGGGATGGTTTCCCTTCTTTGCTCATTATCAACTTTATTTGCGTACATATGTGGATCTGTAGATGCCACAGTGAATGTGTGGAAGTCTGAGGATAGCTTGGTTCTCCCCTACCGTCCTGGTTCTGAGAACTCAGGCTGTCAGGCTTAGCAGTGACCACTTTTACCAATGGAGCCATCTTGCCATCCCACAGGAGTGGTTTTCCCTGATGATTCAGGATTTACAGTGCAAAGTCAGTTTTCTAAAAGAAAGCCATGGCAGTTTGTAAACTTTCTGGGTGCCATTGTTAGCAGTGAGAACCCCCTTCAAGGATCAGCAGGCTCCTAGCTTCAGGCTAGGGCCAGTCCAACGGGCTTCCCCAGCCTCACCTCAGTGAACCCAGTGGGTTGGGTAGTCAAGCATATCAGTGAGCTACGTGATAACATCGCAACTTTCCCACTTTCCTTCCCTCCTCTCTCTCTCCCTGCTCTCTCTCTCTCTCTCTCTCTCAATAGTTTCACTGTTTAGCTCTGGTTGAAGGCTGACTGTGCCTGGGGACTTGCTCTGTGAACTGGACTGGCCTTGAATTCAGAGATCTACCTGCCTCTGTCTCCCTGGTGGTGGGATTAAAAGTACGGAACAATACTCCTGGATAATGGCTTTCTGTACCTAGAGAGATGAGAACAGTTTTTAAGAGGTTTGGGGGAGGGTTGGAGAGATGATGGTTCAGTGGTTCAGAGTGAATACTGCTCTTCCAGGGGACCCCAGTTTAGTTCCCAGCACTCAGGGGGTCTGATTCCTCCGGCCTTTGTTGGAACCTGCAGGTACCTGGACACACCCACACACATATAGATACTTAACCAAAAACAAATCTTTTTTTTTTTAAGATTTATTTATTTTTATTATTTATACAGTACCCTGCCTGCATGTAAACCTGCATGCCAAGAGGGCACCAGTTCTCATTACAGATGGTTATGCTCCACCTCCACCATGTGGTTGCTGGGAATTGCACTCAGGACCTTTGGAAGAGCAGACAGTGCTCTTAACGTCTGAGCCATCTCTCCAGCCCCCAAAAGAAATCTTAAACAAGGTTGGAGGGAAATGAGAAGACTATTTTGTGCCCTGGGGTGGTCCTTCCGGGGCTCGAAGCAGCTTTCTTGGACCAGCCCCGGTACATGCACCATGCAGACATTGCCTGTTATGCTTTGCATGTGTTCTGATCACCAACTCCACTCCAGGCTGCACTTCCTCAGTGTAGTAGCGTTGGGTGGGGCCTAGTGAGAGGTCTCCAGGTCATGGAGGTGAAGCATCCTCACGGGACTAGATCCTGATGAAATCGGATGTCATGAACGGAGTTGGGCTCTCCCAGCTTCCTTGCTCACCACGTGACCTGTCTGCCCGCTCCTGCCCACTTTTCACTTAGAGCAGCGCAAGGCCCTGCCCAGAAGCCAAACAGACATTCCTTCCAGGTCTTAGGTCCCAGCCTCCAGGAATGCGATCTCAACAAACCTCTCTTCTTTATAAGCTACTGAGTAGGTAACTTCTTTCAAAGGCAGGTTTTTGGTAATGAGAATTGTTAATAGCACTGAGGAGGTGGAGGCAGGAGGTTCAGGTCAAGGCCACTCTTGGATCCATCTTGAGTTGGAAGCTAGCCAGGGTTACACAGGATGCTGTCTCAAAAATAAAATCGTGTGTGTGTGTGTGTGTGTGTGTGTTATCAAGACATGTCGGATGAAATCCTAAAAATAATTGATTAAAAACCATTGAAAACAGCAAGACAAAGCAACCCTCCCCAAAGCAGTCTCTCATGTAGAAATACAAAAAGCAAACCCCCAAACCAAAGAACCCTGTAAATAGGGGTATTTTGGTGACCATGCTTAAACAGAGTATCTGCAGCACAGTCTTCCCATGATTTCATTCTATCTGCTGCAGCCTGTCAACCAGCCATGGGATTCAACAACCCCAGCTTCTACTGGCCACACCCTAGCGCACCCTCGCCAGGCAAAGCCCACGGTCCACCTTCAGAAGAGGTGGAGCCTGCCTCCGGCTTGCAGCTTGAGGGCCCAAGCCGCACCATAGGTAGGTAAGGAGCCCACAGGCCAGGAAGGGCACTTCTGTGCTCTGAGGGCAGGAGAGGCAGGCCAAGCACCTAGCTGGAGTCAATGACCCCACATCTGCAGCAGATTAGGATGCAATGCTGGGGTCCAGGGATGTGAACTGAGAGAATGGGGGGCCTGGTGGGGAGGTGTGTGCATGCCTTAATGATGCAGCCTACAGTCTGTCCTGAACCGTAATCTTTTTCTTTAACCAAACAAAAAATCAGGGGCTGAGGCTATTGTTCGCTTGGTAGAATGCTTGGCTAGCGTGCATCAAGGGGCTTCATTCCTAGCACCTGCTGTTGTGGTGCATGTCTGTTAGCATTCAAAATGGAGGCAGGAAGATCAGAAGTTCAAGGTCATGGCTATAGAGAGAGAGGCAAGCTTGGCGCTGGAGAGATGGCTCAGACAGTAAGAGCACTGGCTGCCCTTCCAAAGGCCCTGAGCTCAGTTCTCAGCAACCACATACATGGTTGCTCACAACAGTCTGTAAGGAGATCTGGTGCCCTATTCTGATGTGCATAAAGGCAGGATACCATATACATAATAAATTAAAAAAAAAAAAACCCAAACAACAACAACAAAAAGGCAAGCCTGGGCTGCATAAGACCTGGTTTCAAAAGAAAAAAGTTACAACAGAATGCTACATAAGAGAACAGAACCCTTTATTTTCTTAATTGTTTGACTTTATAAACCTTTGGAAATCCAAAACCAGGCTTCTCTGAAATATGGGAGCTGAATGTGAATCTCAAATCTCTCTTTTGGGTCCAGTTCTATTTTCCTAGGCTCGTCTCAAACCTGTACACTTATGAGGTCCTCCCATCTTGACTGCCCTGATTGAGATCCCTGTGGGGCTGAATGTGAATGGTGAAGGCATTCATTCTTCACAAACCCAGCTGATGGTTCCCTAGCCAAGCAGGGACTTTTGAGAATTAGAGAGTGGTGACATATGTCTTTAATCCTGGTAACTGGAAGGCGGAGGCAACTGGATCTCTACGGAGCCCAGTCTGGCCGACAGAGCAAATTCCAGGACAGGCAAGGCAGAGACACTCTATCTCAAAAAACAAAAACAAAAGGCATGACCTTAGCTTTCTGCTTTTAATTCCAAACCCAGGCCACCATGCCAGTGAAGTAAGCCGTACAGGATGGAGTCATCAAGACCTAGTCGGTAGGGAGGAAACTGGAAGTTCTCCTAGTGAAGGCTCCATGGCCTCCCCGGGGAATTCTACACCCAGTGGTCCAATGAGCCCCATCACCCTGATGAGATGCAGGATGCAGAAACAGCCTACTGTATCTGGCTTATTTCCATTTTGAACAAGCTGCCAAAAATAGAACAGGACTGGAGGTTGGCTGACTATGGGAGGGAGCAGTCACTCGTGAACCAGAACAACAAAGTGCTGATGAAACCATGAACTTCATCAAGTCAGCCATGTTAGGCTTCTGTGATCCTGCAGACCACTCTGGGTCAATGGCCTCAAGTGCCCCTGGAAACGGACAGTGCAATCAGTTGCTTGACAGCCACTTGCCTGTAGGGCTTATTTAGAGAATATATTGTGCCTTATGTGAAATTGTAGTAATTCCTTTTTCCAATGCTATGACAGAACATCCAACTTAGCGGGGGTGGGGTGGTGGGGTGGTTATTTTGGCTCCTGGTTTGAGAGGATACAGTCCATCACAGCAGGGAAACCATGGCGATGGAAGTGTAAAGGGGCTGGTAGTACTGAATCCATTCAAAAATGCTGAGAAAAAGAAGTGATCAGCTTCCTTCTTGAGTTTTCTTTGAAAATTCAGTGTGGGATTCTAGTACGTGGAGATGGTGCCACCCATATTCATGGTCCGTCTCACGCTGGCATTGAGTATTAACCCTCATGGGGATTAGGCAGTAGGCATATGGAAAAGGCTCATCCTGGTAAGGCAGTGACCAGGACAGCAGTCGACACCATGACAAAGCAGACATAATGCTATTTAATCCACTGGGAAGGGAGGGGCAGCTACGTGGACTTCAGTGACATAGAAAAAGTGGCCTGCAGAAGGACTAGGTGGAGCATGGCTGTCTGGCCTCCTTCAGCATGAGGGCTTTGCTGAGGGAAAGCTTAACCGGCCCTCACCTCAAAACACCCTAAGATGCTATGTGACAGCTCTCGGGAGGAAAACTGCCTCACCCTAGCCTGCTTTCTGATTCCAGAACATGAGCAGCCATGCCACAGGGCTGTCATATAGGTAAAACGTCACAGTACATGGAATAGAACTCTGCAGGACTCCTGGCACCAGCATGCACCCAAATCTTAGGCTGGTCCAAGTGTGGACTGCTGTGAACCTCATGAGTCCTTGTGGCGGTTTGAATGAGCATGGCCCCCACAGGTTCGTGTATATGAACTCTTGGTCTCCCTAGTTTGAGAAAATATTTGGGAAGGATTAGGAGGTGTGGCCTTGTGGAGGAGGGGTGTCATTAGGGGTGGGCTTTGAGGTTTCAAAAGCCCATTCTATTCCCAGTTAGTCCTCCTCTCCCCCACCCCTTGGCATTACTGCTGTTGTCTCAAGATGTAAGCTCTCAGCTACTGCTCCAGTTTCATGGCCAGTTCCATGGCCACCTGCCTGCTGCCATAATCCCTGCATGATGGTCATGGACTCACACTGTGAGCCCCCATAACCTCTTCTGTAAGCTGCCTGGGCCACAGTGCCTTGGCACAGCACTGAATGAGTAAGATAGTTCCCACCAGGTTCCCATTTTAGATTGGACAACACATATCTCTGCAGGGGAGGTTGAATCAGTCCCAATTTAGAGTTTATCAAGGAAGCTCAGGGGACCCACACCACCTGTCCTGTGGTGGCAGATCTGCTCAGGGGTCATTATTATTATTTTTAATGTTTTTATTAAGAAGCCTGGTGACATGACTTTCTCATTAAGTCTAAGATAGTCTTTGAATAAGATAATAAATGACATTTTGCTTTCTTGATACTAGGTCTCATGTAGTCCAGGCTGTCCTCAATCTCAGGACATGCTGAAGGTGACCTTGTCTCTAGTTCCCAAGTGAGAAACCACATCTCCAGTCCCACGGCAGTTATTGTGATGTTAGGGAGCTGAACACATGGAACATCCCCAGGGCCTCATGCATGCTAGGGCTACTTCATCTCTGAGCTACATCCCCAGGCAGAGAGAGAGGGGAGAGAGAGAACGAGAACATGCACATGCACAGCACATTCGAGCGGATGTCAGAGATCAACATGTAGGAGTGAGTTCTCTCCCTCTTCCAGGTGTGTCCTGGGGAACCCAACTCTGTGTTTATTTTTGTATTTTGTGTGAGTTTTGCCTACGTGTGTGGATGTAGAGCATGCACATGCCTGGTGCCCTCGGAGTTCAGAAAAGGATGTCAGAGCCCCTGAGCTGGAGTTACAGATAGTTGTAAGCTGCCTTGTGGGTGCTGGAAATGGAACCCAGGTCTACCACAAGAGCAACAAGTTCTCTTAACAGCTGAGCCAGCTCTCTAGCCCCTATGTTTTAGTAGCTAAATATTTTTTGTGTTATTAGGAAAAAAAATGGTTTTCTGTAAACTTGAGAGCTGGTATTACAGGTGTATGACTGGGCGAGCTACAATTATTGACACTGAACAATGTCAAAAAAACACAGGCTCTCGCCTTCATCCTAAACCTGGTGAGATGACACCCTGCAGGACTTGATGGGTTATTAAACTAGTGGCATTTCTAACCTGGACGTTAAAGTATTGGGAAAGTCCACTTACCACAGTAAACCACTCCTGAAAATGCGCTCCTTACTGAGCAGCATAAATGCTCTTGGTAAAAATCTCCAGGCAACAAGCTTTCCCTGTGGGCCACTCTGTATTTATATATTAAGGGGTGGTGTGGTGGCTCTCAAGGTACAACACAGAGTATTTGAGAGAAAATGTGTTTTGTGCTGGATAGTTTTATGTCAACTTGATATAATTACACTCATCAAAGAAGGAACCTTAACTGAGAAAATGCCTCCACAAGATCAGGCCGTGGGCAAGCCTTATGGGTGGTGTCATCCCTGGGCTGGTGATCCCGGTCCTCTAAGAAAGCAGGCTGAGCAAGCCATGGGGAGCAATGAAGTAAGCAGCACCCCTCCATGGCCTCTGCTACAGAGCCTGCCTCCAGGTCTCTGCCCTGGCTTCCTTCTCTGATGGACAGTGCTGTGGAAGTGTGACTTGTCCCCAGCCTGGCCTGGCGGCCCACACCTTTAACCCGCACACTCTGTGGGCAGATCTCTCTGGGCCAGCTAGGGCTTCATAACTCCCAGCAGCTGTGGAGATTTACAGCTTGTCTGCCCCATTTCTTCCCTGAAACTCTAATAAAACTGTCTTCCAGCTTAAGCTGGAATGGGGGGGGGGGGGAGAAAAAAAAGAAAGAAAGCTGTGATTTCAGCATTTTATTACTTGCACTCTCCCTGACCCCGTGCACATTTAAAGTGTTTCCTTGGTTCTGCAGTTGTCTCTGTCACATCCTCATGGCTCCCAGATCCTCGTGCTCACCATCACTTACGCCATCGCTGCAGCTCTAGGGATTAACAGAGACAGATATGAGGGCCCGGGAGGATATGTCTTACTGGCTATTTCTATCTTTTGCTTTGATAAATTATTTTTTAAAATATTTTTCATAAGCTTAAGAAATCTTCTTGGGGAGCTGGAGAGATGGCTCAGGGGTTAAGAGCACTGGCTGCTCTTCCAGAGGTCCTGAGTTCAATTCCCAGCAACCACATGGTGACTCATAACCATCTATAATGAGATCTGGTGCCTTCCTCTGGCCTGCAGGCATACATGCAGGCAGAACATGTTATACATAAGAAGTGAAAAAAAAAAAATCTTCTTGGGCCTAAGAACATCCAGAACAGTTTTAGAGATGGGGAAAAAAAAAAAGGAAATTCCAGGTCAGGTGCATAAGCCTAGTAGTTTGCCAGGGTGCAGGTGGGTCAGGGTCAGCCTGGGCTAGAGTGAGACCCTGTCAACAATAAAACATCTTGTCTATTCAGAATGGCTCAGCTCAGGGCAAACACTGTCCTCAGGGAGACAGAATTCCACTTTGGGCTTTGGTCCAATGCCTGATACAAGAGCTGGTGTCTATGGCAGGCTGCTCAGCATACAGGGGTGTGCTGCAGGCCCACTCCCACCGTGTCACCCCCACCATGTCACCCCCGGCTCTCCAGCCACGGACTGAGCCAATACACTGAGCTTTCATCTAAAATAGCCTAGGCTCCTGCCACCTCTTAAATTATGGAAAAATACTAAACTTTTTTTTTGGTTAGTCTCCTAGCAACTATTTATTTTTTAAACCCTAACAATCTGCGAGATGTGGTGGTGCGCATCTTTAATCCCAGTGCTCAGGAGGTAGAAGCAGGTGGATTTCTGTTGAGTTCGAGGCCAGCTTAGTCTACAAAGTAAGTTTAGGACAGCCAGGGCCACACAGAGAAACCCTGTCTCCAAAAACCAACCCAACCCAACAACTTCTAAGAACTGTGTTGTTTTTAAACATTAAAGGATTTTTGAGTGAGTGTTTCTGCCTGCAGTGTATTTGTGCACTACATGCATAAGTGGTGCCTGCAGAAGCCAGAAGAGGGTGTCGGATCCCCGGAACTGGAGTTACGTTTGCGCTGCCACACAGTGCTGGGAACCGAAGCTGGGTCCTCTGTAAGAGCGACAACCACTGAGCAATCTCTCCAGCTCTAGACCTGTCTGTATATCACACTTAAGTGAACAAAAGTTATCTTAAGAGAAAAGAAATTTTGGCATTTTCCTTAGTTCAGACTTTGACGAGCTCAAGTGCAACCACACGGGTGCTACGGTTTGGTTTTGTGTGTACCCCAAACCAGCTCTGAACTCACTGCTCTCCTGCCCCAGGCTCTGAATGAGGTTACAGGCATGCACCACCATGTCGGTTCAAGGAGCTTGTTTTTAGACACTGAAGGAAGCTAGAGTCAAGAGCTGGAGAGATGGCTCAGCAGTGAAGAGCACCTGTTGGGTCTTCCAGAGGTCCTTGGTTTTATGCCTAGCACCTACAAGGCAACTCAAAACCGTCTATAACTCTAGTTTCCTCTTCTGGCCTCCATGGACAACAGGCACATACTTGGTATCCAGATATATATGCAGGCAAAACACTCATAGACATAAAAAAATAAAAATAAATAATAATGAATTAAAAACTTTAAAAAGTAGCCAGACTCTAGCCAGGTGTGGTGGCATACACCTGTCACCCTAGCACTCGGAGGCTGAGGAAGGAGTGAGAGCTCAGGGCCAGAGGTCAAGGCAGGAGTGTTGAGTGTGAGCGAAGCCTGGCCTGCACAGGGAGAGCCAGTGATCAAAGAGATGAAGTTGCTTTGTTTGAAGCACATAGGCTGTTCTATTTCTCTTGCTCTCTCTTTGTGGCAGAAAGCCCTTCTGTTTTACTGTGAAAAGGGTGTTCTTGGGCACCATGGAGGTCCTCTTCCTCTTAGCAGGGAACAGTTTAAAGCAGGGAAAATAAACAAATCCAAGCACACCAGCATTACCACTGGGCAGCAAGAGCAGTTGTGTGAATTTCAGTCAAATCTTACAAAGACCTTTAGTGGAAGCCACAGAGCCCCCAGTGACAGCTCACCCACTAGGACTCCTAGAGCTCAAGGGGAGGTGACTAAGTCGTTTGAGCTAGTGCTCACGCTGGCGGTGCTTACTCAGATGCTTGAAGCTCCAGTTATAGCACAGGATAAAGTAGCCAGCGAAGAGCATGGTGAGGCCGCCGACCCCACTCTTCTTTATGGTGGTGTTGCACTTCACCCAGCCTGTCCAGAGAAAGAAATCACACAGTTAGTGGCTGGGAGTGTTCCAGTATGTACACACCATTCAACTGCCCTGCTAGCTTGGGCGATAGACTCTAACCACAGAACTTACATGCCTACGTAAGTGTGGTCCACGAAAAGTCTATACATTCCCACAGACAACGGAGCTAAGCTATGGAGGACTTGAGTAAATTCAAGTCACTAGTTCCCACATGGGGAGCTGGGTTAAATTCCGGAGTGGTGCAGATGGATATGGATACGATTAGTTAAATATTGCCTTGGCTGATCACGGTGGAGAGGGCTGGGGAGGGCTGGCAGGGGGGCTGAGGATGGCTGGCAGAGGAGGGCTGGGGACAGCTGGCAGGGGTGGGTTTCAGGAAGTGAAAGCTGCACAATAAGCGGGAGCTCCTGCTGTCTTTGGTGTTCTGAGTGACAGTGGATTCCGAAATGGACACAGAGAACAACACCCACTCCCTCTCTTCTCCTTTGCCTTGGTTGAACAGCCTACCGTGGAGAAACTTCTCCACATGCCTGGAGCCAGCGAGAGACCCCAACAGTCAATAACAGCAGCCTCACCTTTGTGCACAGCTCCCAAGAGGCTCATTAGAGGGAAGCTGGAAGTTGTAAGCGCCAGGGGTTCCAAACTCTTGCTACCAGCCGAGCTTCGTCCCAACCAAGGAACTACGGTTCCAAACAGAAGTTGCTGTGACAGTTCATCTAGAATCACCCTTCCCCAGCATGCAGCCGCATGTCCTTATGGCTAGGCCTCAGGAAAAGCACATCCCGACAGGTGGTTCAATGAGACCCTCACTGGGCTGCAGTTAAACTACACACGGAAGGAAAGGCCGCCTCAGGTCAAAAGCTCTTACTGACAGAGACCTTGTCCTGCGATGAATGCACTGCCTGCTCCCTACAGTGCTCGTGCCTGGACAAGCCACGTTTTATCATCTGCTGAGAATTTGGGAAGAAGCATGGCTTTCTACGACCTGCTGAATATCCTGAAATGTGTGGATCAAAGAGTTTAGCTTCTGGACTGAAAAAATATCTGGACCATCTACTATGTGTGTAATCTTGGGCCCCAAAGCCAGAACTAAATGCAATCTCTCTGTTCTCTGTTCCCCTACCACACTGGTGACTGAGCCCAGGATCTTACATGTGCTGAAAATGCATGTCTGCATGTCCTTAACCACTGAGCCCTAAAATCATCATCCCTTCAGATGAATTTGTCACATGAACTGCACCAACATATTCTGAAGGTTTGTTTTGTTTTGTTTTAAAGCATGCCTGTGTTGACTATGACCCGCCCACCCCGGAAGACTGGGCTTGCAATCCTGCCTTCCTCAGGACTGCTGATATCCATGTCAGCATTCAAGATGCTGTCATTTTGGAGCACTACGGTGCTGAGCTTGGAGACGAGTGACACTCATCACAAATACCCCTCCTCCCTCCCTCTGTCCTCTCTATTCAGTATGCCTATTCTGCAACCCCACCACCTTGCCCCCTTGAACCTTCCTTTTACACTGACACTGAGTAACAAATGGAGCCAGAAAAGAAGGCATGTGTCTCTTTTTCACATTTTTTTTTCTCCATGTCCAAGCCAGACAGCTCATCTTTATTGCTCATGGTTTTCTGGTCTTGTTTTGGTTTGTCAGACAAAGGGTAAACGAAGACAGACGGGTTTAGCAGGTGTGGTAAAAGTTGCTGTGGATGTAAAAATGCTCAAATGATCATACTGTATGATAATGGAAAATAACATGTTGGGGGCTTGGACAGAGGGCTCAGCAGTTAAGAGTACCTGCTGCTTTTGCAGAGGATTCAGGATTGGTTCCCAGCACCCATGTCGTGGCTTACAACCATTTTTTAACTTGGTTCCTGGGGACTGGAACCCCTCTTCTGGCTTCCATGGGCAGCTGCATGCATGTGGTACACATTGCACATGAACTCACATGAGTTCATACACAGACATTCAAGAGAACTCAAACAAACAGAAAAAGAAAATTATGGGGCTGGAGAGATCGCTGCAGTGGTAAAGAGGGCATACTGCTGAGGACCTGGGTTCAGTTCCTAGCACCCACTCCAGCAGCTCACAACCACCTGGAACGCCAGCTAAAGGGACCCGATGCCTTCTTCTAGCCTCCACAGACACTGCACTTACACATTTTACCTCTGCCTCCAAAACTCAGACTTGGGGGTGGGGGGGGGGGGGAGATAAATTATAAAGCCTGAAGGTGTAACTCAACTCAAAACATAAAGAGAAAACTGCCACCTTTGGGCCAGGGTCTTGGTGGTGCTGGGAACCCTGTGGCACCTTGACTTCTCCAGGTACAAACTTAGGGGAAGTTACACAAGAGAAATCTGAGTTGAGATCATGGGTGGAGTGCAGAGGACACATTCTTAGTACCCACAGGCCTTTCTCCCTTACCTGCCTCTCAGGAACACTGGACTCTTATCCCTCACAGCCTTACCTAGTGGATTTCTTTTCCTTCCCTCCTTGGACTGTGTAGCACTGTTCTGTAGACCAGGCTGGCCTTAAAGTCATAGATCCACCTGTCTAGGCGTGACCACCAAGCCCACATAACCACCAAGCCCAGCTAACCCACTGAGTTTCTGTTATACCTTTTCCCAGGATAGAAAGTCAACTGCTCTCAGGATGAGCAGCCTGCCCAAGTCTAACCTTCATCTCTCGATGGAGGAGAAGGGAGAAGGAACATTACAACTAAATGTACTGTGGGGTAGACCTTAAGTGAGACTAAGGTTGTTCTTTTCTTTTTTTTTTTTTTTTGTTTTTTGTTTTTTGTTTTTCCGAGTCAGGGTTTCTCTGTGTAGCCTTGGCTGTCCTGGGCTCACTTTGTAGACCACGCTGGCCTTGAACTCACAGAATGCTGGAATTACAGGCATGTGCTATGCCACCATGCCCAGCTCAGAGTAAGTTAACTGAAGGAAAATGAGTAATTCTGACCTGTATTTCAAAGGCACAGAACACTCTGGAGGGGCAGGGGGCAAATGAGCTCGCTTACCTTTCCAGGTACTTCCGCCCTGGGAAATGGTGAGAGGAAGAATCTGAGACATTGGGTTCCATGGCTGAGGGCCCCTTGGCAACACCCCGAGTTCAATATAACCAGGATAGAGTTCTGGAAACCACTCCAGTCCCATGGGCCTGGGAGGAGCCTCTGAGTCAGCAGCAGCACAACTGAAGAGGGAACTCTTAGAAACAGGGTACCAAGCTGAGTATGACGCTATGTGGTGGCCCGTCTGAACTGTGTGGGGGTGGCGGAAAGGTGTGGCTTTGAGAACATTCCTTTCGCTTCCAAATGATAGTGTTCCGGTAGGGCCTTGACTCTGGTCATAGAACTGGGCTTTCTCTTCTGGAGTAGACTTCACAGCCAGAGAAGGGGGAGTCTGAGACGCTGATCCTGAGACAGAGAGCAGCTTACTCAAAGCTCCCTCTGGTGGAGTAAATACATTTGGAAATGCAAGATCGGCTTGCGGTTTTGCCTTTGTGGTTGAAATGGGGTCCATACCACTGCGGCCCAAGCAAGGCTGTTCCTGTACTTGTGTGGCAGACATCCTGTCCTCAGGATTTCCCTTGCTCTGGCACGACTCTATTCCAAGGCCAAGTTTCTGGTGCTCTCTGGCCTGAATGTTACCCAGTGGGCCAGTGTGAAGGCCCCAAAGTGATTCTGACTTCTGAGTGTTAGTGTTGCCAGGGCAGGGAGGGACTCCTGAGAGATGACCTCCATCCAGGGAACCACTCTCCCTGCTCAACACTGAGGGTTCTTGCTGAACCCCACAGCTGCTACTCTTTGAAAAATAACCATCATTAGTAGGTCCATCTAGTAATTCTTCCAGACACTTCTGTCTTTGGGAATCAACTCGGTCCAATTTGAGACTGGCAGAAGTGGCTGGCCGAGTCCGAGGCTGAGCCAAGGAATATTTCCTGTCTTGATTCGATAAAAAAGGTTCCTCTGAGCTGACTAGTGAAGCGGGGCTGACTAGGGAAGCTGCTTCCGTCTCTAAGGAATGGCAAGGACTTCCATTGGACTCAGCCTCATCTCTGGTAAGTTCTCTTTTGGGAGAAGTGGCATCTGACACAGGAGGCTGAGGGGCTGTGACTCTCTTAAGAGTCACCTTTACCTTGGCATGTCTGAGGGCTTGGAGGGAGAGTTGATTTTGATCTGTGGCTTCTCCTCCTGCTTTTGCTGTACCCAGTCTTCCCAAGATGCCCACTGGTAGTGGAGAGGTCGCAGCTGCCCATTCTGATCTGTTGTTTTCCGCTTTCACATTTTTTGTCAAACTCTCTGTCTTTAGCTCTTTCCCCGTACCTTTGGCTAAGCCTTTGGTAAGGTTCTTTTCCTTTTTGTCACATGCAACTGTAGCTAGCTTGGAGTGAGAAACTTTTTGGTCAGCAGATATGGGCGGTCCTATCATCTTACAGTGTGGCAGGTGGGATTTTAATCGCTTAAATGGCTTCTTACAGTAAGGACACACCTCCATCTTGGGCCCGGCATCACCCATGCTCTTCCTGGGAAGGTAGAGGTGAGAGGTGATGAGAAAGACAGAGCTATCATCAACATCTTATATACAGATTTTAACTTTGTATTTTGTTTGCTTGTTTGTAGCCCAGGCTACCTCAAATTCACTATGCAGCCTACATAGTGAATTCCAGGAGAACCAGAGCCACATAGTGGTACCATCTCAAAAACAAACCCAATAACAACCCTGTTAAGTTTCAAATCCAGGACAACCGTTGGAGTGCCCATTTAACTTATCAAAGTGGACCCGGCCACCAGGTTCTCCCAGCATCCTACAGTCCCTACCAGTTACAGGGTTTCTCTGGCCTACCCCAGCCTCTTCCCTGAACTCTCTGGCCCATGGGCTGGGCCGCCCTTTCCCCAGAGGTTCTTCCCTATATAATCCAGACACTTTGGTTACCCACTCTTTTTTTGTACCTTTGGCCTCCTGGCTGCTGTACCTGGTTACCCTCTCCCTCTCCCCACATGGCTCAGGGTCATGATCACTCTGGACTCTCCCAGATGTGTCTACCTCTGCCTATGTTCTCCTACTTACCCATGATAAACTTTTCCCTCCACCATACCTAGAAGCAGTCATATATGTATTTTTTCTTTCCCTTTTTTTTTCATTCAAACCCCTCCCCAAAACAATAATAATAAAACAAAGACAAAAGACTCAAGTCTAATAAACTAATGCTTAGTCAGAGAAAAAGGTGTTAATGTTGGCCAGTTGATGCCAAGTGGAGGTTACAGGAGTTCAATGTAATTGTCTAAAAATCCTTAAACATACAAAAACTAAATAAATAAAGGGACTACGTAGGGCTTTTAAGAGCACCTATTGCTACTGCAGAGGACCTGCGTTCTGTTCCCAGCATCCACATCAGGCAGCTCATAACTGAATGAAAAAAAAAAAAAATGAAAAAAAGAAAAGGATGTGATTGCTCTTAGGTGGAGGACAAAGTTTACTGTAGATAAAAGGGAGAGCACAGGCAGAGGCAGAGACATCTGGGAAGTCCAGGGTAAACGTGAACCTGTAGCTGGGCCTTGTGAGGAGAGAAGGGAGGGGAGAGAGCCAGGAGAGTGAAAGGTAGACAAAAGGGCCAGGTAACCAAAATGGCTGGATTATATAGGGAAGGGCAGTCCATTCCCTGTGCTGGAGAGTTTAGAGGAGCGGGTGGGGCATGGCAGCCATACCTAGTAAGGGGTAGGGACTGAGAGGTGTTGGGAGACGCTGGCAGCCAGGCCCACTTTGATATGTTCAATAGGCACCTTAAGCCATCTGTCCAGGGTTTGACACCTAACAATGACCCTTTATGACTCTAGTTTGGGGGAAATCTGGTATCCTCTGACCTGCTGAGACACTGTGCAAACACAGTATAAACTCATAGAAACAAACTCATGCAGGCATGCAATACATTTAGTAATACCAGGTGGGTATTCCTCCCCTGGAACTCTCCATCAATTCACATCCACTTGAAACTGTCCTTCAGGGATAGAAGGTGGAAGATATTCAGGCACAGGTACAGAACCTGATTAGAACAGTTTTTAAAGGTACATCTACAAGATTCACTGGGGTGGAAAGGCTCATGAGGTGTCAGCTGGGGACGTGGCTCAGTTGGCAGAGTGCTTGCCTGGCAAGTACCACAAAGCCCCGAGTCCAACCCCAGCACTGCATAAAACTGGATGTGGTAGGAGACATTCAGAATTTCAGCACCTGAAAGTGGAGACAGGGAAGTCAGGTTCATCCGTGGCTCCAGAAAGATTGAGGCTAGTAGCCTGGGATTCATGAAATCATGTTTCCAAAAAAAAAAAAAAAAAAAAAAAGCAGGAAGCAGTGGAGGGTTTCCTATGACTCAGGGGAAATGAACTGAATCTCTGCTAATATTAATATTAGCATTATGCATATATAAAAGTAACAATGTACAGAGAGATAATGATCCCAAGCTTTAAGTTTTAAATTGTAATATAACTGATTGTGGTATACATATACATTGCACATTCTCAACTGTTTGGAATTTCTGACAAATGTATATAATGAAAAACATTTTTATTGCACAGCATTTATCTCTGCTATTTTCTGGAGTTGGGAAGGAGAATGTTTAATTCCAAAGCTCAGCTGGGAGCTATTTTCCCGTTTTTGTTTTGTTTTGTTTTTTAATTCCGAAGGCCAGGGAACCTATCTCTCCTGGGCATAAAATCTAGTATCACAAAGCGTAGTACTTACCCCTGAATGCTATGAGGAAGCTGAGGTAGTTTAATGTCAGCCTGGGCTACACGGGGAGACTGTCTGTCAAACAATCATCAACACGTGCCCGCGTGCACACACACACCCCTCCAACACTGAGGCGGCTGGTATATGAAATTTGTTCAATGAATAAACACTAATTCTCCCCATCCAATAAACCTCTTTTCAAAGAGTACACCTAATGGAGGGGTGTGTGTGTGTGTTGGGGGGGGGTGCGGAATTTAAGTCTTTAAAGCCTGAGACAAGGTCTCAAGTAGCCCAGGCTGGCCTCGAACTCCTTACATGGTCGAGGATGACTTTACCCTCCTGGTCCTCCAGCCTCCAGTTCCCAAGAATTGGGATGACAGGCGCGCACCACGCACGCCCGGCCGGGACCTCGAGGCGTCCTCTGATCGTGCTCACCTTTGCGCGTGACAGCTCGGTTCTCCCCGGCCGGCCACCCTACGCTCCTCGGTCCAGCCTCTCGCAGCAGGTGGGCGTGGCCGTTCCAGGCTAGGGCTGGAACTCCGTTACCCGGTTCGCCTGGCCTGCACTCCTCTCTCGACCTACAACAGAGGTCGCGGGAAACAGGCCGGCCCTTGGCTACTCCGCCGACTCGGCTCCGCACCTCCCGACACGCGAAGTTCCACGCGGAGCTCGCTTCGAACCCGGAGCCCACCAACACCTTCCCTACCACGGAATCCAGAACTTGTGGCCGTCCGCATCAGTGCCTGATGGACCTCGGCCAGTTCCTTTTAAAAATTTTCCACTTCGTAGAGACCTAACACAGATATAAGCATCAACTGTGGCCGACAGGTTAATTTGTTTAAAGCCTGGCTTGACTTTTACCGCGTGTCCTAATTTGTTTGCCAACAGGCGGATGCCTTGGACACCTAAACGAGGTCCTGGGCGTTCCCAGTCCGTCCTCCCTCCCCGAACCTGCCTCTTCCTGAGGGCGGGGTTATGGGTGAGCGCGGCCGGCGTCCCGCCACTGCGCAGCCGCACAGGACGGTACTACGGCGCCTGCGACATGGGGGGGCGCGGAGGGGACGCCGGAAGTGGCTGTGGCGCGGATCGGACCGAGGGGTACTCGCCGCCCGCAGCCTCCACCCGCGCGGCGGCCAGAGCCCAGGCCCGTGGGGGTGGGCGTGGCGGTCGCCGGAACACAACTCCCTCTGTTCGCTGTCGGCGCGGGGCGGCGCCGCGTCGCTCGCCTTCACCAGCTGCCATGAGCGAGCGCCTCCGCCCCAGGTGAGAGGAGGGACCCACTTTTCTCGGCAGCCCCTCGGCCGAGGATGTGCGCGATGGAGCCGAGGGGCACACGAAGCCCGGGTGGTGCGAGGCTCTGCTCTGCGCTGCTCTGCGGTCCGGGGACGAGGCGGGGAGAAGGTTGCTCGGCCTCTGACACCTGGACCCTGTGGGTAGCCGGAGAGGTGACTCTCTGGAATCCAGGGCTACCCCTTCTCTCTCTTTTTCTTCTTTTCTTCGGCTTCTGCCCTTTCCACTGTGGGTTGAGGTTTTGTTCAGTCCTGCGAGGCAGACGGTCGTCCTAAAGCTCTCGTGTCCCTCAGTTTCGGCGGGGGAGTTGAGGAGGTGGGAATAGCCGATCTTGGAGAGGCAGCCCCTCAGGGCGCCTCGGAGAGGGGCTGGGACGCCTCGGGGGCGGGGAGCTTCTGGCGCCCCAAGGTCAGGAGAAAGGCGGGGGTTGGGCTTAACCCTGCAGTTGGGAGGGCTTAGGGCAGACTGCAGCGCTGTGTCCTGATCTGTTGTAAAGCCAGAAGGGCAGATGGACCCGGGCGGGTTGTGACCCACCCACTCGCGGTTGTAGCATTAACAGGCAGGATTCTAAACTGTTTGGATGAGGAGCCGTTTGGCCGGGAGGCGGGAGGCGGATAACATTGCGAGTTATGCCCGCTTACCTACCCCATTGAGTCTGGCCTCCGGCCCCAGGCCGCCTCTGAGGACTTTAGGCCCAATCCAGATGAGGTTTCTTTTCTCCTTCTCATTTTCGTCTTCAAGAAGGTGCTAAGTAGTATGTTGGGTTGCCTCGGAATGAAGAGGACCTGTTTTATTTCTTACTAGAAAGTCTGCTAACTTGTGGAGCCTGATCATCATCAAGTTGTTTCGTTTATTTAAGCCTATCCAGGTTCACTTTATTCCATAGTAGTCTCAGGCGTAAAGAAAGTGGATTGTAGGATTGCTTTTTTATTTTTTTCATAAAATATTTTATTTTTGTTTTATGTTTATGAGCGTTTTGTCTGCATGAGTGTGTATGTACATACACTCCGTGCCTGCCTGCTGTCCATGGGGGCCCGAAGAGGGCATCGGATCTCCTAGAACTGGAGTTACAGATGGATGTCACCCACCCTGTGGATGCTGGGAACCAAACCCCAGCCCCCTCCAAGAACAAGGACCCCCAGTGGCTGGGCCATCTCTCAGCCCCTGGATCTTATTTCTTTCGTTCTTGGTTGTGAATGTAATTCTGAACGCTGGGATTAAGGGTGTGCGCTACCACACCGGCTTCCTTGAAACAGTTATTTCATAGGCAACGTCCTGAGGTTATTTGATCCAGTATTAAAAATTTGTAGGCCCCTAGACTGAATTGAATTACTGATTTTGGTTATATAGTAATTGTGGCAGAAAGCCTATACTTGATTCAAGATGGTCAAACTGAATTGGAAATTATAAGGTGCCTGCCAAAATTATAATCTGATGTGGCATTAATGTAGTATCAAAAGGTTTAAGCTTACTGATTGTACAGATAGCATGAAGCCATAATCTGGCCAGTTAATAAGAAACATTGAAAGCTTTAAGTCAAGTTGCAAAAATGGCCCCAATTACAGTCACACCATTAGTGCTGGGATTGGGACCTTTAGATACAGCAAGCCTGAGATGACTGACGTTTTTTGGATTCTCTTGGAATTTCTCGCTTATCTGACAGGCCTCAGCATTTTCTCTCAAGAACAGTTTTTTGTTTTTTGTTTTTTTAATCTAATGCTGTAGCTAGTAATCCGAGTTTGTACTGATTGTAGATTTTTTTTATCTAATACATCCACAACGATCTTAGTGGGTTACTATCTTCTGGTGTCTTCTTTAAATAAGCCGTTGGTTAGAGAACAGACCTTTCTTGGCCAGTTTCAGTGTCTTAATATCTCCAAGTCAGTTAATGCTTCTGAATCTGATCCGTCAATTATAAGATGAAGGTTGAGCAGTGTGTGGTCAGGAAGTCTGCTTTATCACAGATCCCTGAAGTTTGCATATGAATTGGGGGGGAAAGAGAACCCTATAGTAAGAAGCAAGAGCTCTTTCACTTTTAAAGAAACAGTTGAGAGGGTGGTTGCATTTGTCTTTAGAAGATCTGAGTTTGAGGCCAACTTGCTTTATATAGCAAGTTCCAGGCCAGCCAGGCTACATAGTGAGACCTTGTCTTAAAATAAATGTAAAAAATTTTTACTTTGAAAAGCAGTTTCTGTACTCTATGATGACATCTGCCCAGGTTTTTGAAGAGGACCAGGAAGATAAGAGAGCAGTGAAACATGAAATGTGATGGAGTCAGCCGTCTTTGGGAGTAATAGATGCCCAGCAATTATCTTTACCTAGGTGGAAAGGAAGTGCCTGGAAAAATACAGTAGACCAACTGTAAATCAGTGGTGGTGTCAGTTATAAATAAGGGTATTGAAAGGTGAGTGTTGCCAAGGTGGCATCTAATAAAAGCCAAGAACAAGGAAAATGGAGAATAGGTAGAGTTCATTTTTAGCTCATTACCACCCAAAGGAGAGGACAGTTCACAGGCCTGAGAGATGGTGCTTCTACCTTGAGAAACTGACAGACACATGACTTCCCCAGAGGTAGATGGGAATTTTAGAACAGCCCCTTTGCTCTTGTTACTGGGAGGAAACATGCCCTGTTGCCCATGAGGAAATGGCAATTTTTGGTCAGGCTCATAAAGTTTGGTGGGAATGACTCAGCAGCCCCAAGCATAACCAGCTGTTGGCATACTGATAAAATAAAAGTTGAGGACCAGTCTGCCGCCACTGTGAGCTTCTCTTTGAGTGTCGCCTGGCTCCCGGCAGACATTGCTTTACCGACATAGCACTTTCCCATGTAAATTGCCTATATCGGAATGAAAGCAGAAGCTTCTTGGTTTAAATTTATATACTAAGTTGTTTGTTTGTTTAGCTAGTTGTTTTTTAGACAGGTCCCCACTATATAGCCCTGGCTGTCATGGAGCTCTCTGTTATAGACTGGGCTGGACTCAAGCTCATACAGGTCTGTTTGTCTCTGTCTCCTGGATGCTGGGATCAAAGGTATGCCCAGTTTTGATTTATAATAGCGTACTCACTTAATGATTATTAAAACTTGCTTTGTTTAGGGTTGTGGCTCGGTAGAGCCCTTAGGATCTAGTATGTACAAGGCTCTGGGTTCAACCCAAGCATTACAAATAAAACAAGACATGCCCGAAAAAACTATGCCAAACTAAAAAATCTGGTTTTTGTCTTATTTTTAATTTTGAAATAGTTCAAGGATATTGTGTGGCCTTGGAAAGATGGCTGTTGTTCCAAAGGTCCTGAGTTCAATTCCCAGAAACCCCATGGTAGCTCATAGCCATCTATAGTGAGGTCTGGTGCCCTCTTCTGCTGTGCAGACACATATGAAGGCAGGGTAAATCTTAAAAAAAAAAAAAGAATATTGTACAAGTGCTAGATGGTCTTCTGGGAGAAAGGTAAGATGTAGAAAGAAAATCTTATGCCATTGCTATGTGAGATAAATTGTGTGGTCTCCAGTTACTCAGAACTCCTGGACTTGTCTTTAACACCAGTTCCAGGGATCTGACACTCAAATAGACATTGTGCAGGGAAAACACCAGTGCATATAAAATAAAAATAAATAAACCATCTTAAAGAGGGGGGGTCTGTTTCCTCTTTAACTCATTGACTCATCCTGTGTCTGGCTCACTGTCTGTCTCTCTCCCTCTTTCTTACAAATACACACACTCACACACACACTCACCCACCCTCGGAGGACTTGGAACCCTAAATAAACTCTTTTGCAGGAGTCCTGCTTGTGGCTGGTGAGCTGGCTCAGAGAGTGTAGATACTTATAAAAAACAAAACCAAACCTCCCAGCTTTTTTTCTTCTCTCTTCCTCTCCCCCTCCCTCCCTCCTTCCTTCCTTCCTTCCTTCCTTCCTTCCCTCCTCTCCTCTTCTCCTGTCTCTCTCTCTTTGTAACTGTCTGTGTGTAGTCTTGGTTGTCCTGGAACTCTCTATGTAGACCTGTAGACCAGTCTGACCTCAAGCTCAAAGAGATCCTTCTGCCTTTGCCTCCTAAGTATTGGGGTTAAAGGTGAGTGCCCCATCAGGCTCTATCACTTTTATCTTTTTATTAGAGATTTGACTTTGAAAGCATTTTCAGTGTAACTGATCCACCTTTGGAGGTATGGAGCTCTGTTAGTGCTGCCCAGTAGAACTGTTTTGTTTGTTTTGTTTTGGTTTTAACTGCTTAAAGAGTTTTTTTTTTATTAAAGCAAGGTTTTGATAATCCAAAACTTTCCTTACTCAGTTATCAGTTCAGTTACTTAGAACAGAGCTGAGGGCTGGAGTACTGGCCTAGCAGTTGAGAGCACTGATTGCTTAGCTGGACCTGGAGTCAGTTCCCAGCACCAACATGACAATTATTTGTAACTCCAGCTCCAAGGGATCCATTGCCCTAGTCTGACATGGACATGTAGGCAAAACACTAATACATATGAGATAAATCTAAAAAAGTTAACCCAGCAAAGCTGATATGGTAATCTATCCCACAGTAAAGAAGTGCGGACCTGCAGAATCTTTGAAGTTTTATTCTTTGCTGAACTTTTTTCCTAGGGTCCAAAAGCAGTTATTTGGTTGTTTATTTTATTTTATTTTTTTATTTTGTTAGTTTCATATTTTGTTTGTTGTTTTAAGTAAAACAGCTTAGGACTGGCAGTGTTTACTACACAGGTTTTTATTTTTAAATATATAAGGTTCAAAATGTCCTTTAATTCTAGCATATATCTCTGCATATTTGGAAGCAGGGGCAGGTGGATCTCTGTGGCCAGCCTGGTCTACATAGTGAGTCTACATAGGAACAGCCAGGGCTACATAGATCCTTTCTCAAAAAAAAAAAAAAAAAAAAAAAAAGTCCTTTTAAAATTTATATTTTACAGCATTTTCTATAAAATTTATATTAACGATTTTTTTTTTTCAGTGAAGCAGGAGTTTCTGTGGTCTCTGACCAATTCACTGTTGATTTTGAAAGTATATTTAATTATTGTATGTGTGTAGATGTGAGTGTTTGTGGAGGTCAGAGAGCAACTTGTAAGAGTGTTCTCCTGCCATGTGGGACCAGAGTTAGAATGCAGGTTGTCAGGCTCGGTAGCAAGCGCCTTTACCTGCTGAGCCATCTGACCAGCCCCCAGATGAGTTTTAAAGGGCTGTCATCCCAGCAGTGCCATTGATTGCTTTCTGGGCCGCCTCTACAGCAGCACAGCTAGTTTTCTCAGCCTTAAGGCAGAGAACTGGAAACTCAGGCCTGTGAAGGTGTTCTGAGTGCTCAGTCTCAGCATGCCCATGAATTTGGTACTATGAATAGGCTGCGTTGCTTCAGCATTTTCTTTTGCTGTCAGAGGGATACGTCCTACATAGAAACAGTAAGGGGACCCTATGTGGTTGTGCGTGAGGAGGTTTGGGATTACAGACTTCCACAGTATATTTGTGCTGGGCATGCTGAAATTGGGAGTGGCTATGGCAGCAGTAGCCGCAGGACTCGCAGCCAGCCTCTTGTGAGTGTGCCATAGCACGTTGGGTCGACATGCATGACATGTGAGGAAGCTGGCCTCAGTACTGAAGGGTGCTGTAGGAGCAGTGAGGGGCTAGTCCTAGGCAGATCTTGTGATGGGTGAGGCCTGGCATCCTGAGTGGTCCAGTGAGTACTTGGTCGCAGTAGAGTGATTTGGCTGGGAGGTAGCAGCATCTGGGCTAGCTTCGTGAAGTAACCTGAAGAGGTACTGGCTGGTCTTGTGGGTGGGCACTGCTCGTCCATTTGCCATTCTCTGCATATATCGGTAGTTAGCCTGGCATACTGCTGGGTCAAAGCTATATATGGTTACTTACGTAGAGCACTGTAGTGAAGGGGCTGTGCTGTTAAGCATAATGAGATAAGGTTTCATGCTGTCTGAAATTTGGGGTAGCCCAGGCTGGCCTCAAATGTGCGTGCAATGCTTCTTCTGCCTCAGCTCCTTGCAATTGTAGGTATAGCCACTATGCCTGGCAGTAACTGTAAATTAATTAATTTTGCTTTTTTGAGACAGTCTTACCCTTGGTGGCTCAGAACTCACTGTACAGAACAGGCCTTGAACTGGCAGTGATCCCCCTGCCTCTCTACTTCCTGAGTTCTGGGATTAAAAGTATAAGCAGGATATGGATTTTAAATTTTGGTTTACTTTAAATGGCCACATTAGTGGTGGCATATTAGGCAGGGTATTCCAAGCAGTTGGTCTTAGAAGCAGCTATTCCTCCTTTCATTTATTCCTGTTTTTCTAGTTTGAGTTTAAGAATCCTTCTGATAGCATCTAGTTCTTGTAGATAGGCTAAATAAATACTCCCTGTCATAGTGAGAACACTTGCTAGATTTGTTTTTCCCCTTTTAACCTGGCAGTTCTAACCAGTTTGTACCGTCGCTCAGTGGCAACTCAGTGCAGTGCTCTGACAGCGCTAGTTTTGTAGCCTGAGCTTTCCAAGGATGGCTCAGAAAAGCAGTACGCACCACCCTCTATCCTGCTACCAAGCAGGGCATTAGTTACCCTCTCACCAACCTGCGTTTTCCTTTGCGGCGCCATCTTGTGTGTATTTTATATTTTAGGGCAGTACTCCGTGGGCCTGGGAGTAGGGTAGGGAATTTGGAATTATAATTTCAGGGGATATGGCAAGTGGAAACTGAGTTGGGAAGCTTCATCGTTGCCCTCCTCCTGTTACTCTGTTCCCAGCAGGCGTTCGGAAAATAGCCTTTCCCTGTTACGCTTGGCCTGACTGACTGTCTCTGCTTGGTGCCCATGCTGCTATACTCATAGTTTCTCCTATTGGAATGTTGTGATGGATTAACTTTTCTATGTTGTTTTGGCTTATAATTGAAATGTCTGCAGGCTCCATAGCTGGTTCTTTTTTCTCTTTGTGATTAAATTTCAGGAAAAGGAGAAGAAATGGCAATGACGATGACCACCACCCTCCTCCCCAGACCAAAAGGAGCAGTAGGAACCCCATCTTCCAGGACTCCTGGGACACAGAGGTAGGTAGAGTGGCCTCAGACTGGGTTGTACGACCTGGTGTCCTTTGCATAAATGGACATAAATGGAGTTTGTTTGTTCAAAGAATATCTCACCTTCCTTGATAGTGGTAGTCTCCACCTTACTTGCTTACTTTCTGCCTCATTATTTTGAGGCAGAGTTTTAATGAGCAATTCTGGCTGGCCAGGAACTCAGTGTGTAACCTGGTTGGCCTCAAGTTTGTGGCTGTTCTCCCTCCTTAGTGCCGAGTTGTGGGTTGTGGGTAAGTGCTGGCACAGCAAGTCTTTAATTCTGCTTTTGAATTAAAGCCTCTTAGAGGAAGGTAGGCACTGTTCTGCCAGGCAAGCAAAGTGTACATGTTTACACACACCATTTATGGGACACCCATCTTGGAATCTTCTAGTTTTACATTTCCTGATGGTTTATGAACTGTGAGAACTATGATTGTCTCTAAGGGAGACATATTTATTGCTTGTACTCAGCAGAGTGTGTACAGTGTATACAGAGATCCCTTTATGAGGGTTTTTATTCCTCAGTGTGTTCTAGGACGTGTTCTTCCAAAAAGTTGGGAAGGCAGAATGAGACAGGTGGGGAACAGAGTTCTTTGCAATTTTTGTTTTCCAGGAAGAGTGCTCTTTTGGGGGGCTTGTCTGTGTAGTTGGCAGTCAGTAAGCTGGGGACAGAACCAAAGGTTGAAGTGCTGAGGGTGAATTGTGTTACCTGCGCATCCTGGCCCCCAGCAGTTTCATGCTGTAGTGACAGATGGCTGGGTCCTTACACACACATGAAAATAAATTCTGCTGTATTTGGTTCTCACCAGTAAGATTTGCCTTGCATCTAGACTCTGTACCACCAATCCAAAGTCACTCTGAAGGGGACCTTCATGTTTCAGGGCCAGTTAATGAACAAGTCTAGGGTGTCTTCCTGCCACATGTAGACTTGGTTCTGATAGCATCTCCCACTTCTAAAAATCGTAGTCTGCTCTTTTTGTTTTTTAAAAGAAATAGCCAAAAAGTAGTTCAGGTTTTTTTAATGGGATGATTGAGGAATCCCAGGGCTGAAGGAAACCAGAGCTTAGAGATGCTGCAAGCATCTTAGGGTTAAAACACTAATAGCCACAGACTTTTGACTATGCTGTCTGTGCCTTTGATGCTTGAGAACAGGATAAAAAAATGTCTTATTCCCCCCCCTTAACTTGAAAACTTCTGTTTTCCTTTAAAAATTAAAAAATTTAAATTTACTTACCATCATTTGTGTGTGTGTGTCCTGGGGTGGCCACTGTGGAGAGCCCAGGACAATCTGCATAGAGGTATTGGTTTTCTCCTTCCACTGAGTGGGACTTGAGAATCAAATCAGTTGTCAGACTTGGGCGATCTGGTTTGTCTTCTTTTTTTCAATTTTTTTTTTTTACTTATGCATATGTATGTGTGCCTAGTTGAGTTTATGTATGTCACAGGCTTAGAAGTGCATGGAGAGGCCAGATTGAACCAGCTCCCTAGAACTCAATATAAGTGCTTGTGAGCTTACCTGACCTTGATTCTGGGAACCAAACCCTGGGTCCTTTGAAAGCAATAAGCACCTCCAACTGCTGGAATGTGTCTCAGGCACCTCTGATTTCTTATTTAAAACATGTATTTTAGTATTAGGGTTTTTTTTTTGTTTGTTTGTTTGTTTGATTGTTTCTGCTTTTTTGTGGAGGGGGGGCTACTCTCACACAGGGTCTCTCTTATGTAGTTCTTGTTAGCCTGAAACTTGCTGTGCAGACCAGGCTGACTTTGAACTTGAAGATCTACCTGTCTTTGCCTCCCAAGTACTGGGATTAAAAGTGCACCACCAGGCTATCTTGTTTATTTCACTTTGGGTTTTTTTTTTTTTTTTTTTTTTTTTTTTTCTGAGATAGGGTTTCTCTTTGTAACAGCTCTGGCTGTCTTGGAACTTGCTTTGTAGACCAGGGTGTCCTTGAACTCACACAGACCCATGTGTCTCTGCCTCTTGGGCACTGGAATTAAAGGGGAGTACCACCATGTCCAAGTAGTCTATATTGTTTTAATTGTAGTTTCTAGAAGATACCCTTGACTCAGTTTCTACCATCTATGCATTGGTTTCCAGAAGAAAATGTTGACTTTTGACTTAACCTTTGGATCACATATCTTTTTCTTACTTGCCCAAACAAGTTCTGCTATTGAGCCAGTCTGGAATAAACAGTCTGAAGTGTGGGTTAGCTGGTTCTCAGAAAAGCTTAAGGCTGCTGTGACAGCCTTTGTCTAAACCCACTGGCAGGTCACCCATCTTGGTATCCTAACCATTCCTTTCAGTGTTGTTTGATGGGCACAGGCTGCCGTGCTGAGCTTGTTCTGTGGTAAGGTAATGAGTGAACAGCAGGTGACCTAGAGAGGTAGAAGGCCAAGGTCTACTGAAATGGTAAGCAAAGCCCCAGTGACTGACTTCCCATTGGGAGAGGTTCTTCTGTTTGTAGCACAAAGACAGCTTTGGAGACATTGGGATTTTTTTTCCCTCATAATTGTATATAAAAGAAAATAAATTATTAATATTGTTAGTTGATATAATAAACTACTGACTCAGTAAAAGTGTTAACTTTTAATTGAGAGGCTGGCCGACAATTGTATTTATTTTAAAGATCTGTCTATCTATCTATCTATCTATCTATCTATCTGTCTGTCTGTCTGTCTGTCTGTCTGTCTATCTATCAACCAATCATGTACAGTGTGTTCTGCCTGCATATATGTCTGCACACCAGAAGAGGGCACAAGATATCATTGTAGATGGTTGTGAGCTACCATGTGCCTGCTGGAATTTGAACTCAGGACCTATGGAAGAGCAGCCAGTGCTCTTAGCTTCTGAGCCATCTCTCTAGCCCCTGCATTTTTTTTTCTTTTTTTTTTTTTTTTTTTAGAGTAAGATAAGGACTCATTTCTTGGGGCTGGAGAGATGGCTCAGCAGTTAAGTACATTGGCTGTTCTTCCAAAGGACCTGGGTTCAATTCCTAGTAACACATGACAGCTCATAGGGGATCTGACTTCCTCACATAGATATACCTGCATGCAAAACATATAAAACAAAACGTTTTTTGAAATACTAAAATAATTTTAGAGTTCTTTTTCTGGTACTCTGTTTTCATTTGTGAGTGATTTGTTTAAAGTCACTACCTATAATGAACTTCTAAGACGTACTCTTCTGCTGTATATAGTAGTTGGCCACTCCTGGGAAATCAGATGCTGTGGACACTTCTTGCCTTGATGTTCTGAGTGAAGGGCTGGTGAGGTCTGACATGGAGATTTGCTCTTCAGGGAGAAGCTTTACTCTGTGTACATTTTCTTCCTATCATTTTAGTAGGTCTCTTTCCACTCATGTGGAGAAATTGGGCCACAGAAAAATAGCATGGCTGCTAGGATGTAGAAGAGGCTGAGAATCTGGCCTTAGAACTGCTTGCCTCCAATTGGTATGAGCTGCTTTCAGAAGACAGCTGCCAGTTCAGATGGGCTTTGCTAAATATAGCCAGGAGCAGCCAGATCCTAGGCTTCTCTTCAGTCACAGAAGTAGAATTCCTTCACCTGGAAAATTTCCCAAGTAAATGCTGTGATATGGTAGTGCTGGAGACAGCGTGAAGGGTTGACAAAAAAAAAAAAAAAAGCAACGAGATTAATTTTTTTCCTTCATAATCCTTACTTAGTACTCGAGGACTTTGAATTTTAACTCCAGTGACTTACGACAAGCCTTAGGATTCTCCTCTGCCTGGCATGTTCTTGTATGTATCATGTGTGTGTGCATGGAGGCTAGAGGCTGAAGTTGGCTTCCCCATTGCTCTCCACTTTATTGTTAATTTAAAAATTTATTATTATTTGTATGCATGATATATGTGTCACACTACATTTGTAGGTCAGGGGACAACTTTGTGGTGACTCTCCTTCCAGCTTTATGTGGGTTTGGGGGCTCAACTCAGGTGGCCAGCCTTACACAGCAAGTGCCTTTACCCACTGAGCCATCTTGCTGGTGCTCCGCATCCTCATCATCTTCATCATCATCATCATCATCATCTTGTTTTGTTTTTTGTTGTTGTTTTTCAAGACAGGTTTCTCTATGTGGTCCTGGCTGTCCTGGAACTTGCTCTGTAGCCCAGGCTGGCCTCAATCCTCCTGCCTCTGCCTCCTGAGTGCTGGGATTAAAGGTGTTCACCACCCTGCCTGGCTTCACCTTCTTTTTTGAGACAGAATCTCAGCAAGCCTGGAGCTTGCCATATTTGCTAGATGGCTGGACTGCCAACCTCAGGTTCCGAGTCTCCACCTCCCCAGTGTAGTCCCCTGCGATTACAGATGCATGCCACTGTGCCCAGGTCTTTATGTGGGAGCTGGGGATACAAACTCAGGTCTTTAGACTTGCACAGCAGATATTTTACCAACTGAGCCATCCAGCCCCTGATACTGTTTTTAAATCAAGGTATACTATAGAATAGCCAGTACCTATACTACATATAGGCTAGTGTAAAATTAGGTTTTTAGCCATTCTTAATGAGCCCTGATAGCACCTAAGCCAGGCATGCCTCTCTTCTTAGTGAGCAAGACAGGAAGTGATTTATTAACTTGTGTCTTTGTTTTTGTGAGTCCTGTATAAAGGCAGCAGTATTCTTTTTTCACTCATTCATTCATTTTCATTCATTCAATCTTTTTTTTTCTCTATGTAGCCTTGGCTGTCCTGGACTTGCCCTGTAGACCAGGCTGGCCTCGAACTCACAGAGATTCACCTGCCTCTACCGCCTCCTCAAGTTCTGGAATTATAGCTGTGTGCCATCGCTCCTGGCTCTTTCCTTCTCCTCCTCCTCCTCCTCCTCCTCTTCCTCCTTCTCCCCCTCCTCCTCTTCCCCCTCCTCCTCCTCCTCCTCCTCCTCATGCTCCTCCTCCTCCTCCTTCCTTTTAAGGTGTACTTATTTTATGAGTATGTGTTTTGCCTGTGTATGTGTGCATCACATGTGTTCCTGATGTCCAAG